ATATAAAAAATATAAAAATTCAAAAAGAAATTAAAAAATAAAAATTTTACTATAGTATGGTAAGACAAAAAAACATGTGTTGATTATTTACGTGTAAATTGAATTGTATATAGTATAATTTGATTTTTCAACATAAAAAAATGTATAAGCTGTATAAACACTTGACATGAACAAAGTTATCGATTTTCGATAATTCTGTAAATGGAACACCGAACGACCATGCCCGACGATTGAGCTGTTAGAACGAATATTCAGTAAATATTTTTGCCATAAAAAGGGTTCGCAGCACGAGCACACGCAAGCACTTTGAATAAACTAAATTGACACGAGATTAAAATAAAAGAGGGGTTCTACAACGTAGAAGGCTTACTTCAAAAGAAAGAAAACACAAATAAACTACACTAAAGCTGATATAGTGTGCAGGAAGCCAGTGATAAAATAAGTAATAAAGTGTATGTAATATAAATGGATAAAAAATTAATCCAATGAAAAAAGGTGGCGCCGCAAAAAGTCACGAGCCGCAAGTGTTTTACTTAATGCGCCAAATGAGTCCTTTGCTTGTTGGCCACGATGTCTGTAATTTCTGTGTATTTTCTAGGCCAGAAACTTCTAATTGAATTGTTAGATTTTTGGCTTTTATTTTGCTGCCTTTTTGGCAATACACTAGTAACCTTTTTTGCGCTTAAACCGTTAACCCGTTAACCCTTGCATACTTTTTCAACACTTTTTTGCTGTCATTTCACACTCATACAACTGCGTTTGCACTGCTTTATATGTAGCTCATGGCATGGCATTTTCAGTGGCGTCAGCCTGGCAACATTTCCATTTTTGTCGCTGTCGGCACCGATTTGGCTACACAACTCGGAATGAATCGAATGGACACATTTCTTTTTGCCTGCTAAAATTATCCCATGAAATGCAGGAAAAATTAAATTTATATTTCTTTATTCAGTGTAAAGTGGCATGAAAACAATAACAATACATCTATTGAAATAGAAAAAACAGTTAAGAGTGACAAATTTCCAAAATTCGAATACACGAAAAAATTGCATGGTGCGCGTATTTTTGGCGCTTTACCAATGCAAACGTATGTAGGTTGGCGTTCATTGCGTCAAGGATCAAATAGCGCCGTTTCGGCGGGCGACCGCCTTTTCCTCAAAGGTTACAGACAAATAGCTAAAACGTTCAAATTGGAAATCACGTGCCAAAAGCAGCATATCTATATCCTTGAAGGTCAACACAAGTGTGCGTAAATCATTTGTATTTGCTGCCAGAAAGCGAAATTATAAAAAAATCTCTATGAACTTGTGCGAAATTGCCTTTCACAGAGAAAGTAGCTCTGAGGACTTGTTGAGGTTTGATTTGGACCAGAAGGATCAAACAGTCGCACAAGTTCTGGTTGCTCACCAGCGCTTGCCGAGCTTACGTGAGGTCAATGGCTCTAGAGTTAGAACGCAAGAAAATAACGGAGCATCGACTCGCTCCCAATCAGGTAAAATTGGGGTAAGTGTGCCCTCCCTAGCAAGCTCATCAGCTTTGAAATTTCCGACGTATAAGCTTTGAAGCCAAGAGCATCCATTTGAAGGCGAGCTAAAGAGAGAACACGAAACATCCCATCCACAGGGTTGTGCGCAAGGGCTTGGGACCCGCCACGTAAAAAATGCATACAATGAAAAATAACAATTAGCCTGGGAAGAAAAACTTTTTGATGGCAACCATGGCCACTCCTTATTCCTGCCCTGCTATATGTTGCAGAGCGAAAAGATCTGCGAAAATCCTTTGCGCGTTAGCCATGGATAATATCGCATGCGATGGAACGATTAGCTGTATGAGATATACGACGATATTGACATAGTTCAGCGAATTAAAAAACAGCGGCTACGCTGGCTATTGCATGTCGTCCGAATAGACGAAAAGAAGACCTACACTTCTTTGGAAGACAAGCTGGAGAAGGGGTTGGAATCTCCAATTGGCGCCACGGAGCGACAAAAAGAAACGACTGACGCGCTGTTGTTACCTCGGCTATAATCGTGTAAGCGGTGTCTACACCAGTAAAGAAGAAGAATAAGCTTTGACCGTGCAACCAACAAGTCTAATGGGGTAGAAGTCTGATGCTATTGCTAATGAGGTCTGCACTGCTAGTTTTGAATACACAGCCAGCGAGCTCAAAGCCAGTCAATTAGTTTTTATTATATTATACTAGAATCAAGTTTTCTTAGAAATTCTAATAGGTTTTGATTGCAATCACTGGCAATCAAATATATTTACATACAAACGCATATAAAAAGAATCTCATAACTTGCATATCAACTGCCATTTGAAAGCATGGCGCCGGTATCGAGCTTATGAGCAAAAACTAAATTATAAATATTTACACAGTAAATTCAAAAGAAAATATAAGCATGTTTTGCAAGCGCAAACCGAATGCAATTTAAGATTGCGAGAGACACTTATGCACGCTCCTCTCTTCTCTCTCTTTGTATGATCAGCATATGGGGTTTTCCTATCGTAAACTGGTTTGCGTTCATTATTTATTATTAACACAAGTAATCAGCAATGTGCGCTACGGCAAAAAAAATTATCAGCGCAGATGTCAGCTTCATATGGCCGAGCTCGACTTGGCGTCGTTACAGTTTGTTAGAAGACGTGCGCGAGACAACAGTACGATAACACGTTCCGACAATTGAATTCATACGGAAATTCGTTGAGAAGTATATTTACAAATGCTGCGCCAATTGTTAGTGTATGCCGTGTGCAGCTATATCGTGGCCGCTGTGTATGCAATACCACCCTATGAGGTGCCGAAGGCTAAAATAGATGTCTACGCCAAAGGTTTTGAGGTCTCCATACCCGATGAGGAGGGCATCACACTTTTCGCCTTTCATGGTAAACTTAATGAGGAGATGAATGGTTTAGAGGCCGGCACTTGGGCGCGAGATATTACAAAGGCGAAAAACGGACGTTGGACTTTTCGTGATCCGAACACAAAGTTGAAACTCGGCGATACGCTCTACTACTGGACCTATGTGATCTACAATGGTTTGGGTTATCGTGAGGATGATGGCGTTTTTGTGGTGAATGAGTATGCCACTCCCATTGTTAATACTGGCGACGATACAAAGCAGGGTGGCGCTGGTTTATTAGATGTACGTAGTGGTAGCAGCTGCCAAAAAACACCGTCGCGCCGTAATGGTTTAGAAATACGCTGTGCTAATCAACTGTTATTCGATGATGACTTTAACGGCTCGCGCTTGGACAAGAATAAGTGGAGCGTAGAGCGACGTTTCCCCACAAAACCTGACTATGAATATAACTTATACTTGGACGATGCAACCGATGTGTTGCAAGTGGGAAACGGCATGGTTACCATAAAACCAAAATTGACAGATCGTCACTTCCAGCAGCACGCGAAACCGTTACATGCGAAATATGACCTCGGCGAAACGTGCACAGGCGGTCAAGGCAGTGAGGAGTGTGTGCGCGATGGTGCAGCCACAGCGTATATATCAATACCGCCCTTCATTACCGCACAGTTCTCAACTAAAGGCCTATTCTCCTTCAAATATGGACGCATTGAGATACGCGCCAAGTTGCCACGCGCCAACTGGGTCTTCCCGCAACTATGGCTGCAGCCGGTTAACGAAAAATATGGTGCCGATCAGTATCAGTCGGGACAAATGCGCATCGCCTTTAGCTATGTAAACGATACACAAATGCAACTGTTTGGCGGTTTGATCGTCAATTCGAACGATAAGTGGCGTTATGAGAAAATGTGCGAATTCCCGGACACAGCTATTTTCAATTTGGGCAATGATTTTCATACTTACAAACTAGTGTGGACTGAGAATGAAATTTCGGTGGCTGTGGACAATAAAAACTATTGTACTTTCGATCCCGTTAAGGATGGCGTCATAGCCGATATGTTCAAAGATGGCGAAGAGCTGCCGAATAAAGGTTTGTTGCAGAAGGGTGGTAAATTGGCGCCCTTCGATGAGGAATTCTACATCACCATGGGTTATGGCATCGGTGGCGTACACGATTTTAGGGATAATTTATATGGCTGGAAGCCGGAGAAACCTTGGGGCAATACGAATCCACGCGGCATGGGCTCGTTATATAAACAAGTGAAAGCTTTGAATTTTGATCGCTGGATATCCAGCGGGGATATGTTTATTGATTTTGTGAAAGTCTATTCTGTATAAATTTCGATACAAATTTTCAGTATAACGATGAGATGTGATATTGATTTGTTGGTATGAGTGGTTGTATTTAAAATAAGACTTTATGAATACAATTTCTGTATGAAAATTAACCTAATAAAATCTTTAGATATAAAAATTGCGTGTCACGTTTTGTTTGCCCACGATAGACTCCTAAACTACTGAACCGATTGAAGCACAATTTAGCACACTGTGTCCAGTTAGAACCGACTTAGAAAATAGGCTTGATATTTTCAATGTATTGAACAGCTTATTATATGAATAATAGTATAAAATGTATACACAGCAACGCGTGGCCCGATCCACTAGTAATTAATAAAATAACTTGCGTTTGTTTTGATAAATAATGACAGCTACGTGGCAAAAGGGCTGGCAATTTTAGTTCACATTAGCTGAAAAGTAAACGCCAGGGTAGCGTTTATCCAAGAATGGAACAAAGAACAGGTTTTGAGAAAAACCAGAGGCATTGTGGTCTTTGAAAAAATTTTAGTCACGCAAATTGTTTCGGGAGCGCGTTTTATAACACGGTTTGATCGCGGTTGATTTTAGCAAAATTCTCTTAGCATCACTAAAAATAATTCAAGAGATGTTAATATAGCAAAGAGCAGCAAACCGGTCGCGTTGATAGCCTTTTTTAGTCGCTTTTACTATGGTAGTCGCTTTGATTGTGTTTATTTAATTATATATGCAAAAAGCATAACATTTTTCTTTGAAAATTGGCTTGCATATTTAAAAAAAAAAAAACTCGCTGTAGTGTAAACAATATATTATTTTTTATTTTTTTCTTACCAGTAACTAAATTTTCTGGGTGAACTTAATTTACACGCTTTGCCTTGCTTGCATTTAAAAGCAATATTTTGCTACGTAATACTTTGCAAAGCTTTGATAAAATCGCTTTTAAATAACCGGTTGTCATGTTTATGTTTAACTTCATATTTTTTATGTATAGGGAAATAGTTTGATTTTTCTTACGTCTCTGGACAGAATAAATCGCAACGTTAAATGTCAAAGTGTTCATTGCCTCTAAACCTGTTCGTAAGATTTCATTAAGAAGTGGCTTTAAAACTATGCGATTGTTTTTATTGGAAGAAAATCAATTTCGTTGCACTGCACAGACTAACGATATTTGTAAACATCATATTTATCGATTTCAAGCACAAATGTAATATATTGTCTTATAGGCTTGACAGACGGCAGCGTTAAACCAGATTAACTGCGCACTTAATCTGATACAAACTTGTAGGTGACGGCAGCTTTGCGAGTTCGAAAACCCTCGTCAACAGCTGATTGCCATTTTTATAATATTTTCAATTGATATTCGTACCGCGTTGTCATCATCAGAATTTCTACGCTTGTGGGCATTGCAAAAATCATACACTAGCACTGATTCTTGTTTAATATTGGATAGTCGAAAAAGTCTTTTTGTGTTGTGTCAACAGATGTCGTTCCAGTCGTATATCTTCAGTGCTACCAATCACATTGTGTCATACCGTATTGTGTTGGAAAGATGAGATTTTAAACTTCATTGAACCAAAAAAAAAAAAAATTCAATTAAATTCAGGGAAGTTGATTAAAAGTTACAGCTGTTCAAAAATGAGTGAAAATAATGGAGAAATTCGCTATATTTTGAAATTTTTGTATAAAAAGGGAAGATGGTATCAATGAAATTTGTGAAGTTTACTTAGACGATACTGTATTAGTTCGTGTGGCACACTTCCGTTCTGGAAATTTCGATTTACACTGTTGAAAGTTTTACACTTTATTCCATCAGTCTCTAGGGGAAAAATGGCAAAAAATGGGTCGCCCAAAATGGTACATATTTGTTTATTTATTTATTAGCATAAATATAAACAAAATAAGTTGATGTTTGATTAAATTGAAAAATTTAAGAGCCACCTTTCTTCTTTTACTCAACGTTTTTTGAGCACAAATTCTCAGTATACGCAAGCAAAACAATTTACATACACAGCACAGTTATAAGCTATTCTTGTTTAATAAATTCTCGCAAGTTTATTTTCAATTAAGCGGCAATTAGTCGTAACAACGAAGTGGTTTGAGTGTGTGGTGTTCGTTTAGTAGATTTTTTAAGATCGCAATCTCAGCGTGTTTAATATTGTTATGAAAAAAAGCAAGGCAAATCCAACAGCTCTACTCACAAGCTTGTATAACAGTGGATGGATCTGCCGATTAAAACGTATCATTTATGGAAATATTTATGTAGTGGTATTTTTGCACAAATTCTCGAAAATAAAAACTTACTTAATTACAACTAATTTTAACGGGCATAATCCAGGAAATTTCAAAAAGCTTTTGGTTTTCCTACACACCTGCATTAGCATGAATAAGCAGTAATGAGCAAAACAGAGGCAACGCTTGCTGTGACTTTGAAATAACCTTTAAATCACATTTAAACATATTTTTTGTTGATAATAACAAGAAAGAAAAAAATATGCAAAAAAGAAGAAGCACAGTCAAATTTCTTATATACATATAAAAAAATCTTTAACCTTTTTGAGCGATCAGTTAGTATGACAGCTATATGATATAGTGGTCCATACTGAACAATATTTTCGGGGATTATAGCTTTGCCTAGAACAATAATATGTGTCAAATTCCGTGAAGATATATGGTGAAATAAAAAAGTTTCCTTACAACAACTGGTTTTAGATCTGTCAGTTTGTATGGCAGCAATATGACATAGTGGTTTGATATCAGTTTCACCAAATAAGCAGCTTTTCGGGGAGAAAAGGAGGTGAGTAAAATTTCAGAACGATATCTCAAAAACTGCGGGACTAATTCGCGTATATATAGACATTCATGGGTAAATCGACTGAGCTGGTCAAGCTGATCTTTATACCTCATAGGGTCACCGACATTTCCTTCTCGCTGTTACAAACTTCGTGTCTCACTTAACATAGCCTGTTCGGGGTACAAAAAATTACCAATTCCACATACTTGTATACGTCATTCCTACCGATTATTTACCGAATATTTATGCACGGCATCATAATAATTAATATCGTGCTGTACATTTTTTGCACACCACATACGTATGCATGTATGTGTAATTATATTCCTGTGATTTTGCAGCGCAGAATACCTTGGATTAAACTACAAAAACAACAATGATTAATGCATGTTCTACAAAAAAACGAAAACAAATCACGAAAGTGAGTAAGAGCGCTTGGTTGAGAGCTGACACATGCTATAGCGATTCTTCGTATTCTCTCGGTTTTTGTGATTTACCACAACTGGTGAACTGGTTTGCCCATGCTTTTATTGACGTTAGAAACCTACAATGATGCTTTCGCAAAAAAACAGACTTATCAGCACCTGATGAGAGCTTCATATTGTGGGGCTCAGCGAGCAGTGGTCGTAGTAGTTTGGTAGAAGACGCGCAACGCGGTTGTTCGACACAGCATTTATAACAAAGAATAGTGTGAAAATAAGCTTATAATCAACGAGATGTGGCAACAGCGTTTCATTGTTGTCATGGGCTATATTATAGCCATGGCGCTGGGTATACCCAGTTATGAGGTACCGAAAGCAAAAATTGTTGTGTACTATCCAAAAGGATTTGAAGTATCCATACCGCACGAGGAGGGCATCACGCTCTTCGCCTTCCACGGCAAACTCAATGAGGAAATGGAGGGGTTGGAAGCGGGCACTTGGTCCAGAGATATTGTCAAAACAAGGAATGGACGTTGGAGTTACCACGAACGCAACGCAAAGTTGAGAATCGGTGATACGCTCTACTATTGGACTTATGTGATCTACAATGGTTTGGGTTATCGTGAAGACAATGGCGTGTTTACGGTGCGCGAGTATGCGAATTACACTACGGACGCAGTCGAGGAACGAAAACGCGCGGAGAATGCAAAAGGGGGAAGCAGCAGCAGCAGCGCCGGCGGTAGCGTAGATAGCGACGTTATTGGTAGCACCGGCACGAGCAGTGGTAGCGCTGGCAATGCCAACAGCAACAGAGACAGCCACGAGGGTGCTGGTGTCATTGATGTGCACACTGATGAATGCAAACCTTCACAATCTTATAAAAATGGTCTTCAGCAGCAATGTACGAATCAACTGCTATTTGAAGATAATTTCTCTGGCACGCAGTTGAGCAAAGACCGTTGGACCGTGGAAGAGCGCTTCGCCACAAAGCCAGATCAGGAATTCGCACTGTACTTAAATGTGCCGGAAGTCTTACAAGTGAAGAATGGCATGGTTAGAATATACCCAGAACTCACCGGCAGTCACTTTCAACAGCACAATCGTCCTTTGAATATTAAACATGATATCGGACCGCGTTGCACCGGCCGTGCGAACAGTGAAGAATGTGTTCGCGATGGCAGCGCAACATCTTACTTATCTATACCGCCCTTCATAGCCGCACAGTTCTCAACAAAGGAACACTTCTCCTTCAAATATGGACGCGTTGACATACGCGCGAAATTGCCACGCGCCAACTGGGTCTTTCCCCAATTGTGGCTGCAGCCAGTGAATGAAAAATATGGCGTTGGCGACTATCAGTCGGGTCAAATGCGCATCGCCTTCAGCTATGTAAATGGTACAAAAATGCATCTTTTCGGTGGTTTGATTGTGAATGCGAATAGCAGTTGGCGTTGGGAAAAAATGTGCGAATTCCCGAATGCGCAGCAGCTCGACTTGGGCAACGACTTCCATGTTTACACCCTGATTTGGACGGAAGAGCATATCTCCGTAGCCGTAGACAATGAGGTGTATTGTAATTTCAACCCTGACAGCCACGGTAGGCTGGCTAATTTTAACAAAGATGAGCTAGAGTTGCCGAACAGAGTTTTACTTAGGAAGGGTAGTAAAATGGCGCCCTTCGATCAAGAATTCTACATCACTGTGGGTTACGGTATCGGTGGTGTGAATGATTTCAACGAAGGTTTATACGACTGGCAACCGCAGAAACCATGGGAGAATACGAATGAACGAGCCATGAGCACGCTGCTGAAGGCGGTGGAGAAAAATTTTGATGATTGGTTGGAGTTTGGCGAATTGCTTATTGATTACGTTAGGGTCTATGCAATTTAGATTTTTAATGGCACAAAGTGTATTGCATTTTATAAAAATTTTAGCAAATTTGGAATAAAT